CTGACTTGCAAACCCAAGGGTAACTGGGTCGGAGTCCTCAGTTGCAGTTAGGCAATCATCTACGTAGCCTAACCAGGGATTGGTTAGGTACTGTCCATGCAGATGCAGCCAGTACGATATCTTATGGTTGTATGTACTAGATTTAGTGCATCTACGCATATGTAGTAGATTAAGACCCGGTTCTCATATTGAACTTGGCCCTAATTCATTCGTATGCAAGATGCTAGAAAAATAAATGAGGGAACCAAGGTGTGCTCTTACAAGCCAATCCACAGCCTTCCTGACTGGTGCACACCGCTGTGTAGGGCAAAATGATGCGTGTAAAGGGCGCTCTCGAAAACTTTGGTGAGTATATTGCCAACAACTTCCTTCTTCCGTGTATGACGACCCGCTGTCCTTTTGATCCTCTGCTCGAGGCATAGGATGCCACCAAGGAGCCTAACATCGTTCGTTAGCTTTATAATGGGTATTTATCTTGTCTTGGAGCGACTGATTCGCTGGGGTACGGTCATAGTGCATCTTGGCCATCGTTTCCACATCTAAAGAAGCACCCTCATATTTCTCTGCGCACCTTTTTTGCATTCGAGGAATCCTGTGGTCGTCGTCACGTGTCGGCTAGAAGTGACTACATTCCATCGCTGTCTTGTAGCATAAGTTCGGAGGCCTTGAGCTCTCCATGAACGAATATCGTAAGGCCATGTTATCGCACACCTATGGGCAGAGGGCCGCACTCATTTCGGTTTCGAAAACTTGGGGTGTTCTGCTGATTATACTGGTATGTTTTTGCTGTGATGGTGGAGGAGGCAGCTGCCAACAATACTCTCTTGCCCAGCAACATTTACCTTTCCAGTGCAGTGACTGTGTTTCTAGCTCTTGTTCAGTTCTTCGCGTTCCATACACCTGTCTTTGATAACCATTAAGCATTACACTGCTAGTACGATTCGTCCATACTCTTTATCACTCGATCTCAGATCAGTAACTTCTGCTCACATCGCCGCTTGAACTATAAAGCTAGCAGGTTGCATAGCTTAGGTGGATCCCACAGATAGACAGTTTCGCATAGGGTGTGGAAAACAGGGCTTCCTGTCTGCTCAGCTGTACTTAAGCTAGTATTATCAATGTGGTTAGAAGTTATATGCGCCCTCCAAGGGCTGCTGATTTATGGGTGAGAGACACTAAACCATAGGGTGAGTATAGGTGAGTATAGGTGAGTATAGGTGAGTATAGGTGAGTGTAGGTGAGTATAGGTGAGT